AAGAGCTGATTTCTAAAATATGATTAAAGTAAATATATGTGTATAAATATAAAATTGGGTTGTCTCCCTGAGCCTGCGCTGGGGGCGGCGGCCGCAGTGGAGTGGCGTGGAAACGCCCTGCTCTGGAACGGCCAGAACTGTGTCCGCTCCTGGGCTTTCTGGAAGAGGCTGTGAGGCAGCCGTCCTGCGCTCTCACACGCGCTCTGTGTGCTCCTCACCCACACCTCTCTCAGGAGCCAGAACCAGTAGGAAAGATTTACTTCCTGAATAAAAGAAGTGTCTGCCAAGAGTGCGTGTACCTTGTATTTGTAAACTCCTCTCATCACTAGTGCCCTAGAGTGACAGGTGTTCCTGTACAGGCAGATGCTCCCTTTAACCCCTGTCCAAAGGGTCCTGTCCAGCACAGACCCTCCCTTTAGATGGGTGGCAGCTCTGTTCCCTGGAGGAAGAACAAACGTGCCAGGGCCCACCCTTCCTGGCCAGTGGGTACAGACAGAGGGAGGAAGGGAGACTGGGAAGAGGCGCTGAGATGGTCGTTGGTTCGTTAACTCTCATACCCATGCAACACGAGCGTCCTGCGGGCCTGGCTGCAGCCGTGGCATCTACCTTTCAGCTTCGTGATGAAGCAGCTGTGTTGCTCCCTCTAGCTTTGCATTCCTGTGCACCTCAGTCCCTTTGTTCAAAGGTTAGCTAGAGTGAGAGAAAGGAAAAAGAAACCCGTAGGGAATTTAAGCAGGTCCTGGAGCTGGCAGGAGTGATTTTTCAGCGCTGTGATGAGGAGGGCTAGAGAAGTCAGGAAGCCCCAGTGAAAGCCCCAGAAGCCGTGTGTGTGGAGTCCACATGTCCGACAGGCCCCCACAAGGAAGGCTTCTACTTTCTGTTCCCACACAGAAGCCCTCTCTGCCTTTTTCTGCTCCCTGCATAAAGAGCGTTCGCTCCAGGCTGAGCCGTGGAGGCCCTGTCCCCGGAGGGGCCTAAGTGTTGGAGTTCGGTGTTGGGAAGTTTGGTCAGAGAGATAGAACCGTAGGGGAGAGCAGAAAGGATTTCTTCCCACGGCCCGACACGGCTGACGTGCCTGTGTGGGAGCCGGCTGGCCAGCTAGACAAGGCTGTCGCCAGTGGGGGCAAAAGGAAAGGCGTGACACAGGACAGCAAGGGTGGACTGGAGCCCATGGGGATAAACGGAGCCCACATCTGGCTCTCGCTTCCTCCAGGTCTCCCAGGGTCAGCAATGGGGTGACCTGCAAAGGAAGCTGGCACCTTCTGGAAGCTACACGGGCACCTGGCCCAGGATCTGGGGAAGCTGAAGAAGAGCTCCAACAGGACCTGAAGGAGCTGCAGGCCCACGGCCTGCCCCACGCCCACCGCCTGCCCCATGCTGATGGGAGAGCCTGCAGCTCTGCGTCAACACGCGTGAGCTGCTCAGAGCCCGGCCTGCGGCAGCCTGCTACCTGTGATCACACCGCCACTTTGCTCACCTTCCGAGCCTCCTACAGGTGCATCTTGTGGCCAAGGCCAGCCTTGAGCCATCCCAGGAAGGGAGTTGCGGGGAACGTAGTTCAGCCTAGCCAAGTCGATCTGGGGTGAAGCTGCCTGAGTAGCCACATGTCTCTAAGCCACTTCTGCCAACCCGGCCTTCATCAACCATAGACCCCTAAGTGCTTGTCCCCCCCGCCCTGACTCTGCCTTTCTCATTTGTTTCAAAACATGGAGGAGAAGGATGTCATTTATCAGCCCCCTCCAATTCCAGCTTAATTATTCCCATTTTACAGATGAGGAAACAGACACATTATTAGGTCATTGAGATAACTAATAAAAGGATTTAAACCCAGGCCAGATAGTTCCAGAGCCCAGTTTATTAACCATTAGGTAATTCTCCCTCCCTAATAGCAGCACTAGAACAGAGAAGTTAGCAGTCCAGGATCGGAACCCAAATTACTGATTTCTTTGACCCCCATCAATCCCTGACAGGCCCTGGACTTAATGACACCACCTTTCCCGGCTTGTCTCACGGTAGTGACAGTCTTGCTGTCATAATACCTATTTCTAGGCTTAAGAAACGAGACCGTTTGGGAAAAAGCACCAAGTTTCAGAATGCTTCTCTGCTGTTCCCCAGAACATCTCTCCTTTCTTTGATATATGTTTCATCCGTCTGCTTTGGAGAATCATCATTATTGAGTAAAGTTTAAAGGTGAAATAATACTTTTTTACTGTAAAACTAATTATTTTCAATTTTATATAGACTCAACAGAGGGGCTCAAACACAAGAAGTTTACTTTTTGCTGGTGCAATGTTGCACTGTTAGGGAGGCTGTGAACAGGTCGCCCGGGGCAACTTGAATGCAGGGATGTGGACTCCGAGACCCCTCCCGTCTCAAGGCGATGGAGTCACTGACATGTCAACACACACGGTGTTTGTGAGTCCGTCACAGTCACCCAGGACATCTCTGCTCATTCTGCAACTTTAAAAATTGCATGGTGAAAGCACGTCCACACAAAAACCTGCACACGGCTGTTACAACAGCTGTCCTCACAACGGCCAAAACCTGGAAGCAACCGAGATGTGCTTCGGTAGGTAAATGGGTAAATAAACTGTGATACATCCAGATGATGGACTATCATTCAGCAATGAAAAGAAAGGAGCTATCAGTCCACGAAAGCTGCGGAGGAAGTGTAAACGCAGGTTACTAGGTGAAAGAAGCCATTCTGAAAAGCCTGCACGCTGGGATTCCAGCCGTACGACAGGGCAAGGCAAAACCATGGAGAAGGCAGTAACAAGATCAGGGGTTGCCAGGAGTTAGGAGGGAGGAGGGGGGAACAGGCAGAGCACAGGGATTTCAGGCAGTGCCACTTCTCTGTGTGATACTGTGGTGGTGGACACATGTCATTGTACATCTGTCCAAGCCCGTAGAATGCGCAACACCAAGAGTGAATGCTGATGTAAACTGTGGAGTGGGGTGACAAAGACGTGTCGATGCAGATTTGTGGGTTGTAAGAAATGTCCCACTCTGGGGCGGGATGTTGGCAGCGGGGGAAATCTTGAGGGATAGGGGACATATGGGGAGTCTGTGTACCTTCCTCTCAGTTTTGCCGTGAGCCTAAAACTGCTCTAAAAAATGAAGTCTATTAGAGAAAAATCACACGGCATCGTATTCAAATCCACAATCCGCTGTCCAAAACCTTCAGTGCCTGTGTCAGTAGTTGGAGTTTTTCAGATTTTAAAAAGGTAAAGTGGTTTATATCCGATATATCCTGGACCATTCCCAGGGGGTTGTGGAATATTCACACTGTCGACTTTTATCATGTAAAGATCTTCGACAGCCTCATGGTCTAGTTTTGCTGCCAAATGAGTAACAAAAATCTTTCGGTTTTCCAAATTCATTAAGAGATTTGGGACCCAATGAATTTCCCGGAAGCTGTTGGAAGCATCCCGCAGCTGTGGTCCCTCCAGATCTCGCGGGCAGCCGGAATCTCACTGGTAGTGACCATAGTTGCTGAGTAATGGCCTTGGCTAGTGGATGGGCACGCTGCCGCCCCTGGAAGGCTTAGAACACGGTGAAGAATTGTTTAAGAGAAACAGACCGGACCCTTATAATTAATTGTGTGTGTGTGTGCATGTAAGTAACCTGCAAAATGTTGGTGTCTTGTATCTTTGTAACATCCCAGAGAGCCGTCTGACCCAGCTTCCCATCTGTAACTGCACAGCACACAGGGCTGGAGAGCTGCGCGGGTTGGCAACACCGCAGCCCTGGCCACCTGCAGGAGCTGACGCAGCTGCTGGGTAGACTTGGTTAGTCCGCTGCCAGCTGCCTTAACACTCAAATGCTCTGTTCTTCGAGCACATGGCCGTGCTGTCTCGGGTCTTTGCAGGCGATTTCAAAGCCTCGGCCTCCTGTCAAAATGCAGATTCTGACCCCGTAGGTCCAGGTGGGGCCTGAGATCCTGCATTCTAAGAAGTTCCCAAGGCTGCTGCCAGGGCCACCGCCACTGCCGCCGCCACTGCTGCTGCTGGTCCAAGGGCTGCACTTTGAATAGCAAGACTTTAAAGGACTTCTGGTCCCTGTACTTCCAGTTCTCCCCAGAGACCTGGCATCCCGTGGCCATTTCGGGGAGTACATGTGAGGCTGCATCCACCCCCAGTGGCCCTTTGCGGGGAGAACAAACCAGGGAGCTCCGAGAGTGGCAGCGAAGGTGACCCCAAATAAAACTGGTGACGTGCATCATGATGAAGGAACTACAGACACTGATCACTGATGTGGCAAACACGATCCCTTGAGCGTGAACTAAAGGACGTGCTGTCTTCGTGACGTGGAGGCAGGGAGACGCGTTCAAGGCCGGAGCGAGATGCTCGGGGCGTGCGGGGGAGGCTGAGACCTGAAGGGCTGTCGCAGCAGGTGCCCCCAGGCTCTGGGCAGTAGCTGACACACACGCATTGAAATACTCACTTATTTCAATGTTTATGGAAGGAGGAAGAGCAAGTGCTTCGCAGACATAAGGCAGCAATGCCGTTGTTACCAAGCGACAGCAACGGGCCTGCTGGGAGCCCTCCTCCTCCTCAGTCTTACCCGGGCTTTCAAAGCTGTGGGTCCGATTCCATCAAAGGGAAACAGGCAGAGACACTCTACACATGGAAAGGAATCTGCAAGTATTTATCCGTGAGAACTGACTTCTCTATCTTGCACTCCGCAGGCACGGGACGAGCAGCCATCTGACCCTGCGTCACCGGGATGGAAGAAGTGCCCCTCTGCCCACTTCCTGTCCCGGGTGCCACGTGGGGTGCAGCCTCCCCCGTGCCCCGTCCCCGTACATCACGCAGGTGGCACCACTGCGTACGGATGGACGTGTCCGGAGAAACCCATGACCTAGAACTTCTCCAGAGGACAGCTCAGTGCGGGCCTGGCCTGCCACGGAGACTCCACCCACGGCCCTGGCAGGCGCGTCTGCCTGCACAGCCTGTCGGCTCGGTTACGTGTATCTGTTCTGCTGCTAAATGAAAGATAGAATTTTTTGGCTTTTTGTTGCAAAACATTTATTACTAACACAAAGGAGGGATAACCAGCCACGGTTTCACATTCCAATGTAAATTCAGACATTTGTGTGTTTTGTAGTTTGTTGTTGAAAAATCACAAATATCTATGAAAAAAAAAAAACTAAAGTATTGTGGAAACTGCGTGAAGGTCATAGTCTCACATTCATTAAGCTAAATATAAACCAAGGCAATAAAAAAATGTATATTTTAATATTAAAACCCAATTTCTCTTCTCAACTAAAAAGGGAACACTTTTTGGTTTCACAAACAAGTTGGTTTGTCCAAATTCCTTCCGGAACAGTAGTCCTGTGCGAAACACCAGTTCCTGGTCCGGCCCGGCCTCATGCCACGCTCAGCGGGTGGGTCACGCGGCCCAGGAAGTGCAGGGAGGCGGAGCCGTGCTCGTACACGGCAAACAGGAACGGGCTGCTCAGGGTCACCTCCAAGGCCTCGGGCTTTCCGGGCTGCTGGGCAGACTCTGTGGACTGCTCTCCATCGTCCGCTTGGAGTTCAAAAAGAACACTGTTCACCACCTGCAAGGCAGCAACATTGCGATGGCACCCAGGGCACGCTGGGCGCAGGAGGGCTGCGCTCACTGTCCTGGAGGGGGATGTTTCTCCAGCCTGCCAGGAACACGCATAGTACACACATGCCCCCCAGTGTAGACAAAGGTGTGCTTGTGTAGACAGCCCTTACTCGGCCATCCTGGCCCAACGCACTGATGGCGTCTCCCTTACATGCCCGTCACACCCGAGAAACCCATGACCTAGAACTTCTCCACCCTCCACCTTGCTGTCCGGGGTGGAATTCCTGGCTCCCTCTGCTGTGGCCCCCCAGTGCTTAGCTAACGTAGCAGAGAGGGCTCATGACTCCTGCAGTGACCCCCATCTTCTCCCCTGCACCTGCACCGTGCCCAGAGCACGCAGGCATGTCCGTGGTAGTTGCAGCCGTGCATCGCTCCACATGGCAGAGGAAGAGTCTGCCTACTGCCAAGTATTTCCCTGAAGAAGGGGCTCGGGCCTGGGGGTCTCACTCCCCTCAACCCAGTCACACTCCTGCTACAGCATCTGGGGAGGATGCCAAGGTGGGAGGCTGGCCAGGCTGAGCAGTGCCACAGAGCACACAGCAGGGTCCGGGATACGAGGCGTCTGCTGCTCTGCACCTGTCCCTGGAAAGCCCCCGAAGTCTCTGGCAGCTTCTCCCCCATCCTTGGCCCTGTTCTCCTCTCCCTCCTACCCTGAGGGCCCCGTGTGCAGCTTCCCCTGTGTCCTTCCCATGGGCTCCTCCCACCCTGCGAACACACAGAACCCAGGTCAGACACGCACACGGGCCCGCACAGTACCTTTCCCACCCTGACGTCATCACCGCTGATTTTGCCCAGGTTCGCCTTGGCACCCAGCAGGGTGGGCAGCCTGGCCTTGGCAAGTAGGTCCTGCAGGTCATAGGAGCCTCGCAGTACCAGCTGGGGCATGGTCAGGCGCATGGCCCTGGGAAGAGGACGCACCGTTAGGAAGGTTCCAGAGAGGCTTCCACCGTGACTCCTCAAGCCACACAGCAAGGGAAGCCATGAGCCGCCAGGGAGCCAGGTGGGCGTATGCTCCCTGCTCCTGTCCCTGAAGAGGGGGACATTTGCCCTTCTGACCCAACTAGGTCATCCTCACCCTTGGAAAAAACTTGAGCAAAAATACAATTAAAAAACCTCCAAGTCATTTGAAATACTATGAGGAGGACATAGAACGTGTACCAGTGATGATCTGGGGTGATTAAATGTGAGCAGTGGCCTGTTCTTTGGTCCATTCTGTTTTTAGGTTGACTCTATTGAAGGTGTGTTACTTGAATAATTTTAAAAATGCTATTCCCTAAAATAACACATCGTGTCTCGCTAGCTACCTCTCAGCAGTGTTCTCGATGGCAACACAGCCAAGAAAAGGACTGTGGCACAGTACGCAGTGTCAGCCTCTGTGCTGGGCATGCCGCTGCGTCGATGGGATTGACTGTTGTAGACAGCCTCTTCCTTCTGATGTCCCTCAGAGCCCGTGGACATCTCAGTGTCATACCAAGGCCTTGCAAGAGTCAATGTGTGCCCGTGTTCACAGCAGCTCTGTTCACAACAGGCAAGATGCGGAAGCGCCCACGCGTCCGTTGGTGGGTGAGTGGGTGACAAAACGTGGCCTATCCACACGGCAGAATGAGATTCCGCCTTAGAAAGGAAGAAATTCCAACACGTGCTACACCCCGGATGAACCTCGAAGACATTAGGGGTTGCCAGGGGCTGGGGGAGGGGAGTGGGGATGGGGATTTAGTATTTAATGGGAAACGAGAAAGTTCTGGAGATGGATGGTGGTGGCAGCTGCACAACAATGTGAATGTACTTAGTGCCACTGAATGGTTAAGATGGCAAATTTTATCTTATGTCTATTTTACCACAATAAAAAAATCACTTAAAAAAACCGAAGTTGACATCAGAAAGCCATTCGTGTCCCTTAGTGTCTGTCTTCGGGAGCAGATTTCTAGGCCTGACTCATCTGGACCTGATATGTAGGTCAAATCTGAGCTCCACTGAAGGAAATTGTTTGTTTTTGTCAAGAGGAGCTAATGACACCTCCTTCGCCTCTCCCGGCCTCCGACAACGGGTTCCGGATCAAGGGAAACTCCTGTGTGCCGCGCATGTGTGTGTGCACGGGACGTGGCGTCCAAAAGGCCCCTCTCAGAGAGGGGACTGAAATGTTCTCCCTCTCTTCGGAACTGGTAGGTAAATGTAAGTGCAGAAAAAGCATTCTCCCCTCCCCGCCACCTCGCCTGCTCCGGAAAGACACAGGCCAACCGGAGAGCTCAGTGCGCGGCTGGAGAGACAGCGGTAGATGCACTGTCCACCTGGCCACCCCTCACTGCTCCGTGCCCTAGGCTCAGCTAAGTGCCAGCTTGTGTGTCCCCCCACCTCGCCTCCCCGCCCTGGGCAGACGGATGGCACAACTCCTCTACTTCCCGGGGGAGACCCGGAGGCTCCTACCGGGGGGACGGGTCCTTCATCCAGCTGCGGAAGTCATACTGGAAGACCAGGGCCTCGACCTTGTCCAGGTCACAGCTGCAGTGGGGCTGGACCAGCAGCAGGCCGGCGTGCTCGCCAAAGGGCACATCAGTCACCGAGAAGTTGTTCTGGGCATCGCTCCAGTGCTGGAAGGTGCCCATGCCAGAGAGCATGGGGACAGACACTGAGGTGCTGTTGTCCACCCAGAACTCCTGGAGCCCGGGCAGCAGGGAGAAGCCCTTCATCTTCCCTGAAACCCAGACAGAGACAAGGAGGGAAGAGTCAGCTGGGGTGGGGCAGGGGCTGGCAGACACCGCAGGGCCCTCTCCTGCCCTCTCTCCCGCCTCAGCCTCCTTCCCGGGCCTGCCCCAGGCCCTCTGCATCCTCCTGGCCACAGGGCCTCACCCCCCACCGACCAGAACCCCGAGTGTTGCTCAAGTCCTCCTCCTGCAGAATCCAACCCTTGGAGTTCACTAAGGTAGCCCTAGCTACCAACTGCGGAAGACTCAGGGCATGCCAGGCACTGAACCTGAGGTTTTGCCGGTGTCACCTTCAGGGACCCACCCTGCTGGCACCTGACCTGGTAAACTCGAATCCAGATCTGTCCTGGTCTGAAGCCTGTGGTTTGCCATACTCACTTTTTTTTCCTTTAATAAGTGATTTTTAGAGTGGTTTTAGGCTCACAGCAAAATTGAGCAGAAAGTACGGAGCTCCCACACAGGCTCAGCCTCCCCCGCTATCATCCGCACCAAGTGGCCCATTTGCTGCAACCGGGGAACCTGCACCGACTCGTCCTTATCACCCGGAGTCCGCGGTCTACGTGCGCGCTCCTGGCGTTGCGCATGCTCTGGGGTTGGACGGGGCAGGACGACACGCAGCCACTGTTGCAGGATTCCACAGAGTCCTTGCTGCACACTCACTTTTTCGTCTGGGTCCAACCCCAGCTGTGGCAGAGCCTGCTGGCTGTCCTCTGGTCCCCATACAGAGCCGGCCACGCAGGCTCTGGGGACAACGGCTCCATTTCTCAGCAGCCCCTGCCGCTAGGGACAGTCACACGACCTCGTTGTGACCCATGGGTTTGAACGGGGCCTGGGGGGCAGGGGTCAGCCCTCTGTCTCCCCTCCCGCTCGCAGGGCTGTGGAGTAGGTGAGAGCTGGGGAGAGGCCAGCAGGTCAGACCACCCCAGGGGCAGAATGCAAATTCCAGGGGCAGAACGCAAATTCGTGTCTAAGCACTGTTACTCCCGGCCTCTCTCCGACAGCAGCCGGCCCTCCACCACGACCTTACACTAGCACATTGCACCCTCTGCAGTCCTCTCACTCCTGGTGAAGGGTCCATTTGTGGTTGTGTTTAGCAGAATTGGGTGAAGTAGAGTAGAGGCCATCACGGAGCAGTCCCCTGAGCACATGGCACTCGGGAGTCTCAGGAGAGGGGGGTTAAAAAGAGTCCAGTCTCCCTTTTTACTGAATCAGAGGTCACCAACGTGAAGTGGGGGGGGGCTGGGAGGACACAATTCCTGGCAGGAAGGACCTAGATGCAGTTGCCACCGCTGTCCGGGTCTCCTGAGAACGCAGAGGCAGACCCCGTGTCTCCCTTGTCCTCGGTGTGCCCTGGCAGGTGGCAAGAGCGGCTCCTGAGAAGCTACAGGGTCCCTCCTCACACTCTCCCTGTGGGGACCTCGGTGTTGGCCCACCCTGCCTGGCAGGTGGCTTTTTAGTTTAGAGGAAAAAAAGGACTAAACTCTTTTGCTCCAACAAATTAAAACAATAAAGGCAAGCTGCCTCCAAAAGGACATTGGAATCTGAAATGTGGGTGGCTGCCCTCTTCTCTCTGCTCATCCGACACGCCCGCTCTCCACCCTCATCCAGAGGGTGAGTGACTCTCTCCGGGTTAAGTCAGCTGGCGTCATGAAACCTGCCGGGGTTCCATGTCCCTCAGAGGAACAGCGAGTGCTGGGCAAAGGGCGCCTGGAACTCATTGGCTCCCACATCCCGCTGTCAGCTTCAGCCCCCAGGCATGTTTGCCCTGGGATCTACCTTCCCCTTAATCTCCAACAGCCTGGGGTCAGGGCCTGTACAGCCTTCCTCCTGCCCCTCCAAGACGCCTGGCTCAGAGTCCTACAAATAGTAAATACACTACGAGTATTTGTTGAATGAATAAGCAATTTTCATAGTAGGATTTTTTGGCAAGACTCCCTCTCATGTGAAAGGCATTTGAGCAAGCTAATTGGCTATTTCTGCAAGGGCCAGTGACTCTAGTCCTTGACCTTCCCAAGAGATGCAAACCTGTCCCTTCTAAGCATAGAGCTGGGCTATGGGGTGAGGGGCGGTGGGTTTGAATCCCAGGACCCCCAAGGTGGCTGTGCCATCCCGAGCAAGGCACTTTGTTTCCGAGAGTCTCTATGTCCTCACTAACACCTTTCGCTGCATCGTGAGGGGATTTAACGGTGAAAGCAAAAGGATGTGGTATAGCGACAGCACGTGGTAGCTCTAGGAGATGGTGCTCATCCCAGGGCCTGGCGGGACAGGCACCTCCCCTCCTGGAGGGGTCTCCAGGTGCATCCTCACAGCCATGCCATGCCCACCCCCAAGGCCGGGCTGCTTAGCTCAGCCGCACTTGAACACTAGTCCACAGAAACAGGGAACTGCCACCCTTTGGCACTGGCGCAGGGCCAGAGCTGATGAAGGCTTTGCCTTACCTCGGAAGTGGACGTAGGTGCTGAAAAGCAGGGTGCTGTCTGCTGTGACTCCCATCGGGCTGGTCATCTTCCACCCCGTCACAGCCTGCATGAACCTGTCCATTTTCTCAGCGGCGAGATCCGGGTCTGTGGAGAGGTCCAGAGAGCGTGGGAGCACAACAGGGGCATAGAGAGCTAGGCCCTGCACGAATGGCTGCTTCAGGTGCACGCTTGGGTCCGTGAACAGGCCCACCACCGTGGACAGCAGCAGCTGGGCCTGGCCATCCGCCCCACCGGGGGCGACCAGCAGGCCCTGGATGGCCTGCAGGGCGGAGAGGACCTTGTGCCCGTCCATCCAGGAGGTGCAGCCCCAGTCCTCCCTAGTGATGCCCAGGAGCACCTGTAGCTTATGGGCCGTGGGGTCCAAGGCGCCCAGGTAGAAAGAGGCCAGGGTGCCGAAGAGAGCTATCGGGGAGAGCATGACGGCACCAGTGGCGATCCCTGACTTGCTCAGCGTCTTATACATGCGGAAGCCCAGGATGTTGGCCAACATCCCGACCATCTCGGCCCTCAGCTCGTCTTCAGCCTCCAGCCTCTCAGCAGCCAGCACCAGCTGCTGGCGCAGGTCTTCCTCTTCCACCGGGGCCGTCTTAGCCTGAATCGGAGCAGGTGTGAAGGTCGGCTCTTTGAGTGTCTCCGCATTGGATTTCTCCATCTGCTCACAGCTGCTCTTGCTGTAGATGAGGAGGTGGAAGGGGTGTATGTACACCCGGTCCCCAGTGGCCAGGCCAGCCCAGGCCATGAGGCAGAGGACAGTGGCCCTCAGGGTCACACCAGCAGGACCCATCTCTGACCGCAGCACTCACTTCTGCGTACCCTGAAGAATCATTTATGAAGGGTGAAAGGTGATTATTAACTAACCATTAAGAGCCCTCTAGCCAGACTTCTAGCTGTTCCAATACCCCCTGCAACCATTTAGCCCAGGACAAATCCATCCTCATCTACAACTGATGAAGAAAGCAATGGATTCCAGGCTCCATGGAAAATGTGTGACCCAAGTGCCAAATGCACTGTTATGGGCTGGATCAGGTCCCCTCCTGCTCAGCCCCCTGTTCCCCACAAAATTCATATGTTGAAGTCCTAACTCCCAGGACCTCGGAACGTGACTATGTTTAGAGACGGGGCCTTTGAAGAGGTGATTAAGTTAAGATGAGGCCATTAGTGTGGGCCCCACTCCAATACGACCGGTATTCTTATAAGAAGAGGAGATCGAGACACAGACACACACAGAGCGAAGACCATGTGAGGTCTCAGGAGAAGACAGCCATCCACCAGCCAAGGAGAGGGGCCCCAGGAGAAACCAGCTCTGCCTACACTTTGATCTCGGGCTTCTAGCCACCAGCACTCTGAGATAATTGACAAATGCTGCTGAAGCCCTCAGTCTGTGGTACTTACTGTGGCAGCCTGAGCAGACTGGCTGAGAGTTCTCCCCTAGGGACCCAAGTGTGTGCCAGTCAGGAGGTCTTTGTGGAAGCCCCCCCACCCCCTGAGATGATAATGCAATGGCTTGGGAATGGGTTTTTTAGTCTCCCCCATGGTCCTCATGTGCAGCCAGAGCAGAGCCAGAATTTCCCACCTGCCTCAACCTCAGACCAGCTCTCGACTATCCCTGCATGGCACCACCCCCGACGGAGCTCCAAAGTCCCACCTGCCCAGCTTGGCGTGGCCACCAGCAGTCAGACTCGTCAGTCTATGCTGGGGCCTGGCATAATCTTTTTTTTAAACTTCTCAAGTGACTCTGATGTGCAGCCAGGGTTTAGAGCCCCTGCCCAAGACACAGGTCGCCAGGGTGGGCCAGAGGAGCTCCGGCACCCCACTCCCTCCAAACTCCTGCGACTCTGCTCCGGCCTCAACTATCGCAAACAGCACGCCGGGAGCTAGCCTGAGACCCTGCAAGAGAAGGTTCTGGGGCTACCCTGTGAATTTATTCCATCTGCCTCTTCTCCACGGAGGGATGAACGTTCGTTCTGTTGGTTCATTCAACTCTAACAATTTGTACCACATCTCGCTCATTTCTCGTAGAGGGGGTGACCTGTAATACCGTGTCACTCCTCAGCCCTCCTGCCCCCCAGTGCTGATCAGGGCTTTCTTGGAGCTGTGGTATGTCGCCACTGACCCAAGGTCACCTTGATGCCTCCCCTAAGCACACCCAGTCACCTCTCTTGTGTTGGCGCCCAGGCTGGTACCCACACCGGCCCTCCGCACAATGCAACCGCCCAGGTGCACAGTGTGTCTTTCAATTGACAAAGGGACTTTGACTGGTGACCTCAGCCGCCATCTCGCCCAACCTCCCCATGCGTTTGACTCCATCCACTGTCCTCATGCAAAGCCACGTGACCAGGAACAAGGGAACAAGACAGTCTCCCTGCTCCTCACAGGCCTCCGGTGCAGACAAGCCCAAGTTGCCAGTTCACGCTTGATCCAGACAGTTAGACCAAGCTGCATCAGCAGGGACACCTGTGGGAACCCACTGTGGGGGGGAGCCCCACCTAACAGGCCCCTACAGGGCCCGGGTTTGGACGACACAGGGAAACACAGCCCCCTCTCGCTTTCCTGCTCTTGCACGGGCACCGTCTGAGCGGAAGCAATTTCAGGGGCCGTTTTGCGGCAGAGGTCTTTGTTCTCAGTTGTGACCTGCTGCTGCTCCCCGGGATGGTCTAGGTGTGCAGGCAGCGGGGTCCTGAGTGTGACGGTGTTCAGCGTGGGGGCCGACACCCCCCCCTGGCCCTCCCCCCTTCAGCAGCCCTTCGCCCTCCCTCTTCCCCAGCCTCTCTGCTCTCCCTCCCTCCTCCTGGCTCCTAAAGGCCTAGGGGGAGGGTGGCAGCTCAGCTTCTGTGATGCTGCCACTTGCAGGGCCCTGCTCCCAGCACTTTCCTTATATCAACCCATCTGATCTCCACAAGAGCCCTCACCTTCCCCTCGGACCCTTCGATGACACATTTCACCCTGCTTGCCCCGCCACGCCGGGCACGCTTAACTCTCCTGTCCTGACGGACTTTTACCACCTTGCTACATCCTGTGTCATTTAGTTACGTATTTATTATGCTCCGTGTCTTGTCTGTCCCCTCCCATGGAATGGAAGCCCCACGAGAGCAGGGTCCTGCTGTCTCGTTCACCGATACAGCCAACATTCCCAAGACAGTGCCTGGGATGTAGTAGGTCCTGGATATGTAGTTGTTAAATTAATTAGTTGATGCTGTTTTGCAGAGGAACAGAGAGGTCCAGTGACTTGCCTCAGGTCAAACAGCCGGTAAGAGACAGAAATAGAACTCAAACTGAGACTCCCCCAACCCCCGCAACCTATTGTCCACATGCTTAAGTATCAAGCTATACTGCCTCTTGAAAAAAATAAGAATCTGCCTTTTCAGCTCATCCTAAAATTTAGAAACATTTTCATGTCATATTAGTTCTCTTAAGTTATACTGCAGCCCACAAGAGAGGAAGCCCAGGCACTGTTATTAGGCCCATTTTACAGATAAGCAAACAGGCAGACCCGGGCAGTCTGACTCAGGGGAGGTGCAGGTTGACCCTGGTGGGGGGCAGTGAGGGGCTGACCAAGCTAGACGCCCCCTGCCTGCCCCACTGCCTGCATCAGCCTCGCTGCTCCTTCTGATGGGAAGAGGACCCAGTGGACTCTTGGCCATTCTGACCCTGCTCCTCTGCCTGTCCCCTCCAACCCCAAGGACCCTAGGTCTGCTCAGAGGAAGCAGGAGGACCTGACCATGTTGCCCCACTGCTAAGGAGGAGCAGTTCCTCTGGGGAGACTCGGAGTGAGATCTAAGGGGGAGGCCGGGCCACCTCCAGATGTCTGGCCTTATGGGGGGAGAGGCAGCTTCAGTCGTCACGTCTCCTGCAGTGCACAGTCACTGTCACCCTCCTCGCTCCTTGCTCCCAAATGTGGTGCAGCCAGCATTTCCCCACCGCCTCCCGGAGGTCCCTAGCCCTGTCCTCCCAGCACACAGCTCAGCTGTATCTGAAAGAGACACGGTGGAGAGGGACCTCCTGCTTACCTTCCACTCCAGTCCCAGAACAAGGGCAGCCTCTTCCCCAGCTAGGCCATGGAGGCCCTATTTATAACTAAGGGGTGGAGATGGAGCCGTTCCCAGGCCACTCTGCGCACAGGCTGGAGGAGGGGGCTTGCATCACTTGACCAGACCGCAGGCTGGCCAGGGGGACGGACGCCAGAAGCCACTCTCGCCCTGGGACCCCTTCCAGGACGTCACGCTGATCGATGCACGGTTTCACTGCTGAACAGAACGAGCCAGTGCAGGGCTGGGTTACACATTTACTGACGTTTGCTGGAGCGAAGGCCACTGTTACCGGACACTAGAGGAGCATCCCCCGAGTGGTGTGGCCACCTGAGGCCAACCGCCCAGGCCTTCTGACCAAGCCCCCCTTGTGGTGTGCTTTTGAGAGGCCACAAGGACGGCCAGCTGGGGGGAGGAGGGAGCCGGGACAGGAGAAAGAGCCGTGCTCATGCAACCTGGGGCCACTTCTGACCCTGTCGCTTGCCCCTGGGGAATGTGACCTTGAGCAGCTCCAAACAGCCATTAGGTGCCTACCCTCTGTGAAGGCCTCTAATAGGCACTGGGAGAAACACACCACCGAGTGAAAAGCACCTTCTGGAAGCTTCCAATTTAGCTGTGGAGACAGATAAACTCCAACAACAGTGCAGCCAGATTGAAAGGCACAAATAAAATGCCTTCAGGTTGCAGAAAGGAGCAAACCGTGAAAGCTGGGGCAGGGCTGAGGGGGAATGTCATTGGAGCCACACTTTTTTTTTTTGTACATGAATGCACATAGCATCTTTATTTTTTTTATTTCTGCATATTATGGGGGTACAAATGTTTAGGTTACGTTGCCCTTGCCCCCGCCCCCCCAGTCAGAACTTCAAGCGTGTCCATCCCCAGACGGTGCACATCACGCTCATTATGTCTGTATATACCCACCCCCTCCTCTCCCCTCCCATCTGCCCAACGCCAGATAAATGTTATTCCTATATGTGCACTTAGGCGTTGATCGGTGAAACCAATTTGCTGGTGAGTACATGTGGTGCTTATTTTTCCATTCTTGGGATACCTCACTTAGTAGAATGGGCTCCAACTCTATCCAGGATGACACAAGAGGTTGGAGCCACACTTTGGAGCATAAGTAAGTTGACTTAGAAGTTGCAGGAGGGCTTTTCGGGGGAGAGGCTGTGGTGGTGGCCGCAAAGACCTGGCCAAATTGCTGCCGCCGGCCTATGCCTGCCACCCACGGGGACGACGGCAAGGTTGAGCTGTCACAGCTGTCTTTCCTACCAAGCCTCCAGGACCCAGAGCTCCAGGCCAAACTCTCAAGGAGCTGGGGCTGACACACATGGGGAAACCTGCTTGGCACCCAGGTCCAGGGTGCGGGGCCCTGATAACAGAAGCCCTTGAACACCATGCCAGGAGGCGGGCATGGAGGCCTCCTGCGGAGGGACTGATGGAAACAATGAATGAATGGAATAATGTCTTTTGCGGCAACTTGGATGGAACTGGAGAGCATTATCCTAAGTGAACTATCTCAGGAAAGGAACAACAAACACCTCTGTACTCACAAGTGGGAGCTAAGTGACAGGTGCACATGGTCACACAGAGCCGCGAATCGGGCGGTGGGGGCTCAGAAGAGGGGAGAGCGGGAAGGGGATGAGGGATCGAAACTTACCTGTCGGATACAACGCGTACTATTCAGGGGATGGGTGCACCAAAAGCCCCGACCTCACCACTGTACCACTCATCCACGTATCAAAAAACCACTCGTACCCCCTAAATCTATTGAAATAAAATAAATAAATAAAAGCACTTAAAAAAGAGTTCCAGGGTTGCGGTCCTCATCCAGCCCTCCTGGCCTGGGGGTCTACAGCATGAGAGGGAGAGGGTGACAAAAACAGAGATATCAGTGAGATTTGTTCACAGAGCCGGTGACAGCACCAAGGAGAATCTTCGTATGCACCAATTGGGCTGTGACAAATACGTAAGTACCCTTGTCTATCCCTTACTCTAAATCTTCATTTAAAAAAGATCATTATATCTCACATGGGCCTGTGAATTCTGTAATATGTTTTTTAAATGACTTTGTTCATATAGGCAAGGCTTTCCTGTCTGGGGCCCCACATAGCTTGGAGACCCTCCTAAGTGCCCCTCGTCTGAGTTGGTTCGTTGGGACCCCAGAGGCCTGGGTCCTGCGCCTGGCTCCGCCACCAGCTAGTTGTTTGAGGATCGGCAAATTGTTCCACCACAGTAACAAGCAGCCCTGGACACAGAAGGGGGACGTGAGGATCTAACATTCCTCAAGCACTTACTGTGTGCCCAGCGTTCCAATATTTCAGCTCTTTAAAGCCTCAGAGTTTATTCCATTCATTCACTGTTCCTGGTGCTCAGTATATATCAGGGAACAAAACAAAGGTCCTTGTCCTCGGGGCACTTTCATTGTGCCTGGGCCCCATGCTTCTGGCCTTGGAATGATCACCCCATTCAACAGCAAAGATAATAAAGAACTGATAAGGTAACATGCTGGAAGGTGGTGTCAAAGAAAATAAAATTTCAGGACCCTCTGAATTTATTATGTCAAGGAGGAGGCTCAGCCCTGGAGACTGGGTCGGGTAGTATGTTTGCAACTTCTGCTTTTTAGGTTATAAACACTCTTCCTCATTGTTCTTGTTCCATAAATGACTAGAAGAGACCGAGACCAGACTCCCCCCTTCCAGTCACTGATCTTTGCTATAGATTAGCTACCTCCTTTATTGTCCTGTACCTAACTCAGACCAGAAGGTGCCCAACACCCCGTGACTGTCACATCTTCTTCAGTGCGGAATGTTACCTGTGTCTTTCTCGAAGGAAAAAGACCGCCTCGACCAATCAGATTGTTCTAACTACGCATTAAGCCTTACATAGAAAGATGCTGAAGTTCTGTTAAATGTCTCTAAATTTTGTCCACATAAACGGCCCCAAACTTCTACACTTGGGAACACCGACTTCCACTCTTTGGAATCTGTGATTCCCGAGTGGCCTGTCCCCAAACTTTTCGCTTGAATAAACTCTCTTTAGATTAGATTCTGACCCTTTTGATTATTTTAGATTGACAGTGGTAAGTGCTGTGGAAATTGAATAAGGACAGGAACATGGGAAGGGAGGAGGACAGGGGACTCCTCAAAATCATAAAAGGATTGGTCCCGACGTTACTGAGAAGGCAGCAGGTGAACAAAATCGTGAGGAAGTTAGCTATGCCAGCAACCAGGCAGAGGAGAGAGATGCAAAGACGTGTCTGTGTGTGATTGTGGGGGGTGTCTGTGGGTGTGTGTCCCCATCTATGTACCCCAAACACAAACACAGACACACACAGAAAGGAGAGAGGAAGAACATATGTCAAAAAAATAAGTGTGAGATATTGAATAGCAGGATTATGGGGAACATTTATTTTCTTCTTTGTGTTGTTGAGATAGTTTCCCCAAGTATCGTTTTTTTCTTTAACAATGACTCTGGTTACTCGTGCAACATAAAAATTATTTTTTTAAATATAGATAAATGGACAGTCACAGAGAGTGTGAGATGTGAAGGGCTGATGGGAAAGAAGAGGACTGGACTGCAGCTCATGAGAGTTTCGTTGTTTGTTTGTTTGTTTGTTTTCTTTAGAGACAGGGTCTCGTTCTGTCACCCGGGCTAGAGTCCTGTGGCATCATCACAGCTCACAGAAACCTCAAACTCCCAGGCTCAAGCAACCCTCCTGCCTCAGTCTCCCACGTAGCTGGAACTACAGGCATGTGCCACTATGCCCGGCTAGTTTTTAAAATTTTCTGTAGAGATGGCATCTCACTATGTTGCCCAGGCTGGTCTCAAACTCCTGGGCTCAAGTGATCCTCCTGCCTCAGCTTCCCCAATAGCTAGACTACAGGTATGCGCCACCAAACCAGGCTAATTTTTCTATTTAGTAGAGATGGGGTCTTGCGCTTGCTCAGCTGGTCTTGAACCTCCTGAGCTCAAGCAATCCTCCTACCTCAGCCTCCCAGAGTGCCGGGATTATAGATGTGAGCCACCATGCCCGGCCCCCCGGGTACATTTTTAACACAAACTGGAACGACGAAGTCGCATGAAGGCAATCCAAAGGCAATGAGACTTACTGAGGAAAGCCAGCAGAGGCTCCTCCCAATCTCTTCCCAGCTGCTCTGTGGGGGCTGTCCCCAGGTTCCCCGTCCCTGCACTGCCCAGGAAAGGGGGTGAGCCAGGAGGGGGCAGAGGCCCACCCTCCTCCTGCTTGCCTTCAAAGCCAGGTCCTGCTCTTCTTCCCTTGTTGGGTTCTGGTGCAAGAGTGTGCCCTTCCCCCCAGACACCGTTTCTCTACAGTGTGTCCCCAAGCTCCATTCTGGCTGGTTAGCTCCCCGGGCCTTGCTGTCAAAGGCTAGTATCATCGCCTAGTTTTTGTTCCTCTGACATTTATCTCACGTTTATTGCCCACCTGTGGTGTGCCGTGCTCGCTAGCCACTGAACAGTCCCTCTCAGCCTACTGGGGACTCGCTTTCTTTAGTAAACTGATGGAACCACAGACCCATTCCCCAAAGAACACACAAACGCACTCTCGCATGCAATTTCACTCACAACTGCAGTGGTTTCACGCATCCCTGGAGGTCCATGGGTGTGCAGTTGAGAACTCCTGCACTGGACAGAGAGTTGAACAGGCATTTTCCCCCTCAGGAAAAGGTGTGTGTGCATGGGTGGTGGTGGCGTGTGTGTGCATGGTTTGTGCATGCATGCGAGTGATTGTGAAGTGGTGTGTGTGCTATAGTCTGGATGTTTGTACCCCCAAACCTCACGTTGAAATTTGATTCCAATGTTGAGGTGGGGGCCTAATGAGAAGTTCTTGAGTCTTGGGAACAGATCCTTCAGGAATAGATTAATGTCCTTCCAGGGGTGGGGGCGAGTGACTTCTCTGTTATTTCCCAAGAGAGCTGGTTGTTACAAGAGCCTGGCTTCTCTCCCCAAATGCTCTTGCTTCCTCTCTGACCACGTGATCTCTGC